GAAGAAGTATTGAATAATGTTTTCACTAAAATTTTTATTGTTTTAATGAAGCCTTACCTCCGATTAGATCTCAGATGAGATAAAATGATTGAAGACATTGCGGTTGAAATGAAATATAGTTTACGTTAGTTTGAAATGCACTTCAATTGCAATTTGCAAACAAACCAAATGCTGGACCAAAACAACACAACTATACTGTAGTGTCCTCTCTATACTACCCATACATTCATTGCTTCAAAAGTTTCAAATTTTTAATAACATTTTCAATCTTTTAGAACTTTTACTGTATTATAGTATCTTTTAAAACTAAAAACATTCACTTAAAAAGATCTTTATGTTAATTAGTATTATTTAAGATTTAAAATTTTTAAAAAATAGTATCTATGTTAAAATATTAGGGTTATTTTTAAAAAATTATTATTGTCACCATTATATTCTATAATTTATAGACTATAAATTTCAATGCAATACAGTATACTATGTTATATTAAATATAGTATAACAAGATTTAAAGTATAAATAATTATATTAATATTTTGTAATCAATTTAACTAATAAATAGTGATACCATAGTGATATTATTTCAAAAAATATATTTTAATTAAAATATCTTCAATTAAGTTTATGATTAAATATCAATAGGTGATAAAAAGTTTTATACTTTAAAAGTTTTATACTTCATAAAATATTTTATTACTATATAAAAATGAGACAGGTCATTAAAATGAAAATTCACATATTAATATGATCACAATTACTGACATTTACTGGATTGTGTTTTACTCAAATTCAGGAAAGTATAGGAATAATACATATCAATACAAAGTGATTGAATAAAAAAAGTGAGTCAAAAGGGTTGACTGGGATTTAGTTGAGCGCTGTATCCGCGAGGATTAGATAGAGATTAGACACAAATTGAGTCAAAATAACACTGAATATAGAATATCATTCATGTTTTATATTAAAAGTTCAGTAAAACCCAATCAAATATCAAATTGAGATCAAACTTATACAGTAGACAACAAATTCATTTGGAAAATATTTTCATTTTGTTTAGAACTCGATAAGTGAGAAGAAGTTTGTTTAAGAGAAATATACTTTTAATAAATCTTTTTTAAAACAATTACAAATGATTTTTCATTTAAATACCAAGATGTTATTTCATTCGAGAATTTTATTTTATATAAATCTATTCATTTGTTTGCATGAGAGCCGAGTTAACGGTAAATACAATGTTTGATAAATAAAAGTGAAATGAAGTCAATGTTTTATATAGGGATTGGATGCGGGGAACGACCGGTGGAACTGATGCGGTCGAGTCGTCTTCAACTTATCGGATGTGTTGCAGTGATAACTCAAATCACAAGACTTGATCCCAAGCGAGCATTTGGTTGCCTTCAATGCCTTCTCTTGGATTTGCTGTCATTGAGGAAGAGATGGAGAGATAATTTCGTGACAAATGGATGCAATGAATGGACAAGTGATTAAATGTGTGGCAATTACTTGACAGATACGGTCGACGTCTAAATCGGTGTCCATTTCACACAACAATTCAATTGTGATTTCAATTCAATTGAAAACTTATGGAAAACATGTGAAAAGTCATGTGTTTTGCCACTCGAGCGCCACTTTCAAAGTGACTCCACTCTCATGAACATTCACTATAAGCTCACAAATTCTAAATTCTACCAAATTGTGCTTGGTAAGTGAGAATGACTTGATAGTACTATAATGCACATTTATGATCCGGGAAACTTACATTATTTGGTATTTGTAAAGCATACAAAATAAATAGGTAGAACTACAACTACCTTTAATTAGATTCTATCAATATACAGTCATATTACTATGGATTCAGTTTTAAACTGAGAAAACAGCCTTTTTATCGTGCTAATATTTTAAACTCAACACTAGGACCCTATTACATTAGAAAATATATTATGAAATATACTGTACTGGTATATTAAATTAATATAATATGAATAGACTAATCTTTTTAATACTTCTCTGTTTGTTTCCATTAGTAATGGACCATGGACCATTACTGTACTAATCAAATCAAATTCTTTGACAAATAATACGCTTACAGGACCTGTACTACAGGTATTCAAATGGGTTGTATACAGAATCTTTATAATCTTTATTTTGAAAATTTTTAAAAACAATTCAACTAAAAAATAAGTAAATCAAATTCTTTGACAAATAATACGCTTACAGGACCTGTACTACAGGTATTCAAATGGGTTGTATACAGAATCTTTATAATCTTTATTTTGAAAATTTTTAAAAACAATTCAACTAAAAAATAAGAATTCAAAAACTATCATATTTAAAACATGCTACAGGTATCAAATATTTTATATAAAATAATATAATATTTAGAAGTATTCATGTAAAACATTAACTCTGTTTTGTAACTGTTTGAATAATCCAATCATTATATGCGGAGATTCTGGTGTAAATACCGGGCAAATTGGGTTCAGCACATTTGATACCATTGGAGACAATGCCCACTAAAGTCCAGCGGCCTTCAGGTCCGTCGCGTACAGCCAGTGGTCCTCCAGAGTCGCCTTCACACGAATCCTTACCCCCGATGGCATAACCGGCGCACACAATGGTCTTTCGCGCCACGAAATTGTGTTTTGCTTTTCTATACATTTGCTCGCATTCCTCATTGGAAACGATGGGAACCTTTACTATTTGCAACACTTCCGGAATATTTCGATCCTCTAATGTTGAAAATTATCAAAATATCATAACTGAGACATTTTTTACATGTGAAACACTTACGGTAGGATAAGACTCCCCAACCGCTCACATATGCTTCGGAATCAACAAAATCTTTATCTTTTTCTGGTAAACAAATGGGTTGAATGTGTCGCTCATACTCCACATCCGCGTCCAACTCAATGAGCGCCAAATCATTCTCAAGAGTCATGTGATTATATTTGGGATGAATTATCACTCTTTTAGCTCTTCTCACGACTGGTTGGCTCTCAACAAAACCATTATCCGTTGTAATCATTTCTGGAGTTTTCAGATTATATTCGCCAAAAATCACGTGAAGTGATCCAAAGAGACCGGAATTGCAGTGCGCGGCTGTTATCACCCAATTATGACTCACCAAAACAGCTCCGCATTTATTGTACTTCCAGAAGCCGAAGAACTTGGCCTCCTTGACCAGTGCCTGCCAGGGGGCCTCTCCATAGTAGGCGTCCCCACCACCAACTATACGACTCGACCGCATCAGTTCCACCGGTCGTTCCCCGCATCCAATCCCTATATAAAACATTGACTTCATTTCACTTTTATTTATCAAACATTGTATTTACCGTTAACTCGGCTCTCATGCAAACAAATTAATAGATTTATATAAAATAATATTTTTGAATGAAATAACATCTTCGTATTTAAATGAAAAATCATTTGTAATTGTTTTAAAAAAGATTTATTAAAAGTATATTTCTCTTAAACAAACTTCTTCTCACTTATCGAGTTCTGAATAAAATGAAAATATTTTGCAAATGAATTTGTTGTCCACTGTATAAGTTTGATCTCAATTTGATATTTGATTGGGTTTTACTGAACTTTTCATATAAAACATGAATGATATTCTATATTCAGTGTTATTTTGACTCAATTTGTGTCTAATCTCTATCTAATCCTCGCGGATACAGTGCTCAACTAAATCCCAGTCAACCCTTTTGACTCACTTTTTTTATTCAATCACTTTGTATTGATATGTATTATTCCTATACTTTCCTGAATTTGAGTAAAACACAGTCCAGTAAATGTCAGTAATTGTGATCATATTAATATGTGAATTTTCATTTTAATGACCTGTCTCATTTTTGTATAGTAATCAAATATTTTATGAAGTATAAAACTTTTAAATTATAAAATTTTTTATCACCTATTGATATTTAGTTATAAACTTAATTGAAGATATTTTAATTAAAATATTTTTTCTGAAATAATATCACTATGGTATCACTATTTATTAGTTAAATTGATTACAAAATATTAATATAATTATTTATACTTTAAATCTTGTTATACTATATTTAATATAACATAGTATACTGTATTGCATTGAAATGTATAGTCTATAAATTATAGAATATAATGATGACAATAATAATTTTTAAAAAATAACCCTAATATTTTAACATAGATACTATTAAATAATTTTTTAAAATCTTAAATAATACTAATTAACATAATTCACTTTTTAAGTGAATTTTTTTAGTTTTAAAAGATACTATAATACAGTAAAAGTTCTAAAAGATTGAAAATGTTATTAAAAATTTGAAACTTTTCAAGCAATGAATGTATGGGTAGTATAGAGAGGACACTACAGTATAGTTGTGTTGTTTTGGTCCAGCATTTGGTTTGTTTGCAAATTGCAATTGAAGTGCATTTCAAACAAACGTAAACTATATTTCATTTCAACCGCAATGTCTTCAATCATTTTATCTCATCTGAGATCTAATCGGAGGTAAGGCTTCATTAAAACAATAAAAATTTTAGTGAAAACATTATTCAATACTTCTTCAGATGTTTGCAAATATCGATGGGTTTGGCGACCAATTGCTGGAAACGAGTCATTTCTTCCCATATAATACCTCACAATAAGACCAATGAATGTCTTAATTATCATCCATTCATTTCAAACAATTGTCACATTATTAATGAAATTGATTTGAAGAAAGACTACATTTTAGATCAATTGGACATAAATAAGACATATATTCTGATGAATACAAACACTCGACCAATGATTCCGATTCTTGTGCCCAATTTGAGTCACTTTCAGATAACCGGCAAAACAGATAACAGAGACATAATAGAAGCGGAAAGGGATGTACGGGTCGTGAAGGAGGCGCCGGGTGTGGAGGGCTCGTCAGTAGCCATGCGTCTGGACTTCCGTATAATACGAGACCCGAGATCTTACACTCACTTAACGGTCATAAGGAGGAGGAAAATGTCGAAACACAAGCGCAAGAAATGGAGGCGAAAGATGTTGGCCTTCCTTAAGAAGAAGTATTTGCGCAGAAATATCAAGAAAGAGAAGACCTTTAGGGCTGAGCTCTTGGCGCAAATCAAAGAGGCCGAGGAGTTTGACGCCGAGAAGTACGTCCAGAATATTCTGCAGACCATCGATAGTATGCCACAAGAAGACACTCGCGAGCAGAAGATTGAGAAAATCAAAGACTTGATCCGCAAGAATAGAAAGGAAACCAATTTAATTCCTCCCAAATTTCTAGACTAGCTTTAGATGTCTTGTCAATCATTTCATTAGTTTTTCATGTTTTCACAAATTTATTAAAGAATTAGTCATTCATTGTTTGTGTTGTGTTGTGTTCATTGACTAATGTTTTTACAATTAAGTGGTTGAACAGCTTATAAAACTTTGATAACTTCTTAAAAAGACAATTTGATGGACAGGGACAGCACCGGTACTGTACTACCGGCCCTGCAGTGAGTGATGGGATGGCAGCACATGAGATGTAACTTTGAATTATTGGCAATGTTTACAAATAGCTCTTTAAATATTTTGAAGTTTTGTTTGGCTTTTAAGTTGAAATTAAATCATTTAAAACTAATTAATACACAGCTATTGTCTACACAAATGTCAACCAAAGCACTGGTAGTGTTGGCTGAGGGCGCAGAAGAGATGGAAGCAGTTATCACTGTTGATGTCTTGAGGAGAGCCGGGGTGACCATAATTTGTCACTTTTATTATATTATTATACACAAATGTCAACCAAAGCACTGGTAGTGTTGGCTGAGGGCGCAGAAGAGATGGAAGCAGTTATCACTGTTGATGTCTTGAGGAGAGCCGGGGTGACCATAATTTGTCACTTTTATTATATTATTAAAACTTGAAATTTAAATAAATTAAACAAATTAAACACTATAATATTATAATTACAATATCAAACATTATTTTTAATTAAATATTTGTATAAATGACATGAATTGTCACTTAACAACAGATCTCTGTTACCATCGCTGGGCTGTTGGGCAAAGAAGCGGTTAAATGCAGTCGCGATGTAGTGATACACAAATGTCAACCAAAGCACTGGTAGTGTTGGCTGAGGGCGCAGAAGAGATGGAAGCAGTTATCACTGTTGATGTCTTGAGGAGAGCCGGGGTGACCATAATTTGTCACTTTTATTATATTATTTATAGTTTGTAATAAAAATTAATTTATAAACATATTTACTGTACTTAACAGTGAATTGTTGTCTAGAGACAATGGTAGCGACCCGACAACCCGTTTCTTCGCCAATTTACGTCAGCGCTACATCACTTAGTCCCGGACATCGGTCTCTCTGAAGTGACCCAAGAGTATGATGTGATTGCACTGCCGGGAGGTTTAGGCGGTTCCAACGCATTGGCTGCCCATCCAAGAGTGGGACAACTTCTTAAGCAACAACAGGAATCAAACAAACTGATAGCAGCCATATGTGCGGCACCGATAGCTCTCAAAAGTCATGGCATTGGACTCGGAAAGAGAATTACTTCACATCCATCTAAAGCTGAAGAACTTAAGGCAGACTATGACTACAGCGAAGACAGGGTTGTAATTGACGGACAATTGATCACAAGTCGAGGTCCGGGAACTGCCTTCGAGTTCGCGTTGGCTATCGTTGAGAAACTCTTAGGAAGTAATAAAGTTAAGGAAATATCGGCGCCAATGGTTCTCAAAGAGTAGACAATTATGTTAACTATAAATCTAATCAATGATTCAATTTATTTTAAAATCTAATTACAAATTTAAAACAAAATTAAAACCAATATCTAATAAATTTGAAGACTTTGTAAATTAGTAACAATGAGATCAAAGGCCGCCACCGCCCGAGAAGTCTCCCAATACATACTGCTTATAGGCCTGATTGGCCTGCTCTAGGAATATGAACCTATAATATAAACAATTAATTGATTCAAATAAATGAATAATCAAATAGTAATGGATCACAACATACGTCAATACTGTGTGCGGACCTAATCGGGCATAATATGGAGTAAAGCCCTTCCAGAGAGCAAACAGGCCTTCATTTCGAACGACTCTCGAGAGCACATCCTATCAAAGAATACCATTAATGAATCAAATGAATAATTGAATCAAACGTTTAACGCTTACGATAGCGCCTTTATATTCAGGCTTTCCATCGATTATCTTCATGTTTTGGATCCTAGTTTTTGCTGTAAGAAAGATATCAATGAAATGAATGCCAATCACTGAATATATTAATATAAAGACAAACCGATGTCGACGGGCATGGATGCCATGGTAGTGACGAGACCTGATATCATGGAAGCGACCGCATGGCACGCAATATTATCACTGAAATAAGAAGTCGAAAGCAATGTCTGCTTCGCCTGAGAATAAGAGGCCAGTTGTGCGGCGTTCACAACCATCGCTCGGCCTATGGTTGGGATACATCCGCGCCATAGTGTCAACACTCCCTCCTCTCGGGTGATGCGAATGAGAGCGTCGAACACATTCTTATAGCCTCTCCTCTCGTTCAGAGGTAACCGTCCGTCAGATGTCATACGGATGAGAGTCACCTCTGCCGGCGTCCCGAAGAAGGCACCGACTGCTCCGGCAGTCATTCCTATACCGGCTTTGGCCAGAAATCCCGGAGGTTTTCCCGAATCGCCGCTCAGTTTCTCGAAGAGCGAGGCGTAGACACCCATCCGGACAGTCGTATAGGAGGCCTGTCTCAGTAGACCCGCAGATAATCCCACATAAAGTCCGGAGAAGCCCTCGTTCTTAATGACGGCTCGGATGGCATGTAAACTGGTTTTGTGTTCCTTTGCTTTTCCGCCTTCGCCTGCATTTCCATCCAAATTAACACTTAATTATCTACTCATGAGTTCATTGATCAACACTTCCGTCACACATACCACTCAATTGCATCCGATTCTTAATCAAATCCAATGGCTGTACGAAACAAGTGGCCAGCATTCTGGACACCAATACATCACCCGTTAGTATACTATACTCTGTGTATCAGTGATTATGACAGAGACATACCCAGCACTTCCACCGAATAAGAAGCGAATCGACTTCGGAATCGTTGGGGCTTTGGCTGCAGAAGTGGTGGCACTCGTCTGAGACATTCTTATGGCTTGATATCAATCACTTGTGTCCGCGACTAGTATTTACAATCAATGAGCAAAAGTTGTGCGAAGAATGTGTTGGAGTAAAGTGTGTCAACACGGGTAGGAATATTCCTCAGATGTGGCACTTTGATTGCGCTTACAATAAACAAACCGGTTCTTCAGTGCGGAGCTGATCTTATGTGAGATAACATGAGTTCAAAGTTTGAGTCTTTTTTGAGTTCAGTTTGAACTTCAAATGAAAGAGTGTTTCAAAGTGTTTCGGTGATGACCTTCAGTCCACTCATACACTGATAGTGGCATACATTACACACACATCCCATACACTCACAGCAACCGTATGTATGAATGTATGACAGCTTTGGAGACATTGAGAGGGAGAGAGCAGTCACTGCCAGTGCTGAGGAACTGGAGTGGAGTCTGCCTCACGTGACAGTCAAGTGGTGCATATCTATAGCAACACTCTATCCGTACGATTGACTGAATCTCTATATTCGCGATTCACTGCAATTCTGTAACACTATTCTCAATACACGAACACTAACTGCACGTCTAATACACTATCCATATATTGAGAGCAAACTGTGATCAACACATTGTTAACACATTTCTTCGTTAAACTTGTTTTGAGAATTAGTTTATTTTATAAATATCACAGTTTTGTGAAATATCGATATATTTTGGAGATTAGCTCCAAATGGGAACAGTTGTGCAGTGAATAGACACCAGAATATAGTAGATATAGTGTACAGTATATGACAGGGTTTATATTCATATGAATTTCATATCGATTCACACAACAAGTTACTGTTAGTCCATATATTGTACAGTACTATAGTTTAGTGCACTGTATTTGATAAGTATTTTACCAAAACTTGATATTATTTCACACAAAAGTGTTTGAAGAGTGGTTTGATTGAGTGGACAATGAATTCGTTCAAAGAGGGCTGGTTTACGGAGACTGGAGTCTTGAACTCAGAGACCACCAACTTATCCATTAGAGTGGACCAAATGATTCACTCGCAGAAGTCTAAGTACCAGAATATACTGGTCTTTCAGAGGTATGTATTACTTATAATACCCTAAGTATGCGAGCATTGGTTTGTATGCAATGTCTGATTCTGTGCTAATGTATAGCAAACTGTTTGGTCGGTGTCTTGTGTTGGACGACGCGATTCAGTGCACAGAAAAGGATGAGTTCTCCTATCAGGAGATGATTTCATTCCTTCCGCTCAATTCACACGAAAGGCCCGCAAAAGTGCTTATTATAGGCGGAGGCGATGGAGGGGTTGTGCGCGAAGTGGTTAAACACCCGGCCGTCGAAGAGGTGATAATGTGTGAGATCGATGAGGCAGTGGTGGACGTGTCGAAGCGATTCCTGCCATTCATGTCCGGCGCCTTCGACAGCCCTAAACTCAAACTGCTGTTCGAAGACGGATATGAATTCGTGAAGAACCATAAAAACGAATTCGATGTCATTATCACCGATAGCTCTGATCCCAAGGGACCGGCAGAGTGTCTATTCCAAGAGCCTTACTATAGAGCGCTATACGAATCGCTCAGATCTGGAGGAATCATCTGCTGTCAGGCCGAGTCCTATTGGTTTGATTTGGCGTTCATTAAACAGTTGTACTCTAAATGTAAAGGCATTTTCAAGTCCGTGGCCTACGGTTCCACTTTGGTTCCGTCCTATCCTTCCGGACAAATAGGTTTTCTCGTCTGTTCTAAAGACAAAGTCGTCGACTTCTCCGATCCGATCCACAAATTCTCACCAAAAGAGTACAATTCAATGAATCTGAGGTACTATACCAGCGATATACATACCGGTGCCTTCAGACTGCCACCATTTGTCCAAAATGTATGCATTCCTTATTTCCTTATAACATGTTCGACATTTCCCTAACTATACTTTCTATCTCACATAGGAATTGGATTCGGTTTAGTAAACCTTCAATGGAGACCCCATTGCCTTAGTTTGTCTCGAAATGTAACAAAATTGAACAAATAGTTTAAAATGCGGACCAAATAATGGAAATTATTTTTGTTACTATTTTTCAATCAGACGATTGTTTTATTTTAAGACATTTAATCGCATTATATATTTGAGTAATTATCGATTTGATTAAAACCTAATTAATAGACTAAAATCTAAATCACAAACATTCATTCAATTACTATTGATTACATGTATTGTTTCGATAAAGTATTGTATTTTATATTAGAAGTTATAATCAATTAGTTATAACTAATTAGTTATAATCATAAGTGGAGCCAAAGCTAGTGCTTAGGCCGTGTCTCTGGAGTGCATATATTTCAGGAGGTCGACCACCCGATGGCTGTAACCATATTCGTTGTCATACCACGAGACCAACTTCACAAACGTCTTGCTTAGAGATATGCCGGCCTTGGCGTCGAAGATAGAGCTCCGGGTGTCGCCAATGAAGTCACTGGAGACCACCTTTCATTGCAATCACACGTCAATTATATTGGCTAACAGTTCACACAATCTATACTTCAATACCTCTTCATCAGTGTACCCGAGAATACCCTTCCAGTTGTCACTCTCTGCGGCCGCCTTTACCACGGCTTTGATGTCTTCTTGAGTGGCTTCTTTCTTGAGACGACAGGTCAGGTCGACAACAGACACGTCAGGAACAGGAACTCTGAACGCCATTCCGGTGAGTTTGCCATTGAGTTCGGGGATAACTTTGCCGACAGCCTTAGCAGCACCGGTAGCCGCGGGGATAATATTCTGAGCGGCGCCTCTGCCGTCGCGCCATAGCTTACCGCTGGGGCCGTCGACGGTCTTCTGGGTGGCGGTGACGGCGTGAATGGTGGACATCAAGCCCTCCTCAATGCCGAAGTTATCATTGATGACCTTAGCCAACGGCGCCAAACAGTTGGTCGTACACGAGGCGTTCGACACGATCTGCAGCGACGGGTTGTAGTCCTGATGGTTCACTCCCATCACAAACATGGGTGCGTCCGCTGATGGCGCAGAGATGACCACTTTCTTGGCGCCGCCATTCAAGTGACTATTGGCCTTATCGAGGGTCGTGAACACACCGGTCGACTCCACCACATACTCGACGCCAACCTTACCCCAGGGAATGTCCGCCGGATTCCTCTCCTGGAAGACGTGGATGCGCTTGCCGTCCACCACCAGAAGGCCTCCCTCTTCCTTCACCTCACCCTTGAAGCGGCCGTGGGTTGAGTCGTATCGGAACATATAGACCATGTATTGCACGTCAATGAACGGGTCGTTCACAGCCAACACATTCACGCCTTTCTCCAGACATGCCCTCAGCACCAGACGCCCGATGCGACCAAAGCCATTGATTCCCACTTTTGCCATCACTTACTGTCATCAGACAAGCATTGCATCAGTCAGTTGTGCCACAATCACCTCAAATGTGTTCAACACTCACCAGAATTTGCTTTCAAATGAGATTTGTATTGAGAGACTCGACAAACACCGGTTCCTGAGAGTGGATCCAAAGAGACTGATGATAGGGATAAGTGTTAGACAATTGACTGCAATGTCTGACTCAATGTGTCCTTCAATTCACTCTCAAACCAATGCAAACCAATGCAAACCAATGCAAACCAATGGCACTCTCTCTCTGCACCCCTCCATCACTGTCTCCCCCCTCACACTACTCAACCACACCATACTCTCTATCGCTTCACAAATACATTACGTTTTGTACCCTTTCATGGCTTAACACACTATTGTCTATCAATTGCATTCAAATTTAATGTTACATTCGTTTTAGGGGTTCAAGTATTTTCAGATATTACACGTTATGTATGCTTAAAATAAACCACACCATTCAATATCACGTACACTAGACATGTCATATCATCCCGACTTTAAGGGCAAAAGTCAATGTCTTATATAAGCCATAATAATCACCACAAATAAATCAATCATTATTGTGAACACATATTCATTACTTAACACTTTATTGTACTCTGCATAACATTCTTTAAGAATTTATACAGTATAAGGAATTATTGATATATATAGGGAACCCATGGGTCGGGATATAATTTTAAAGTCTAGTCCCGTTGAACTTGACTGCAATAGTTGCATGCATTGCAAAGTCAGATATTTAGCCGGGTTTGGGAAAACCTCTCACTGTTTAATCCACAACTTTCCTAAAACTTATCATGAGCATATAACCTAAAAACTATCAAGAATTTTTGAATAAATTGTATTGAATGCATAGATTTGAATATCTTTAAAAAAATATAAACTTATCATTGTGAATAGACTATGAAACTATGGTATGACAAAAATGAGTCTCAAAGAGTCCAATGTTTGAATACTGTACCAGTATATTATATTCTGTAGTCAAGAATCTGTACAAAAAGTTATGTTTAAATTTTATTTAAATTTGGTTAATAAGTTAAGAATAATATAAATTGTTTTAGCTAATATAAAACTAGAAACAGACATGATATTCAAATAATATATCATAGACTAGTTTGATTCAATACTGACAATACAAATAGAGTCTATTTAATAGACAATAGTGTTGTTGGTTTTAACTCTTATACAGTACAGTACAGTACAGTGAGGAATATTCTCCACTTTTCATTAATAGGGCTGGCTTATAATTGACAATACACTACACCTATACAGTTAGACTATCCTTTGTGTAGAAAATGATGTAACTTTAGTATATTTTAGGTAATATTGCTATATTTTAAATATTACAATGTTATATTGTAAATTATAATATTATAAATTATACGGCATTACAGTAATAATAGGTGTTGTATTACTAATTTTAAAATACTACTATATATTGCAATTTCTATATTTAGAAACAAAGTTTAATAGAAATATAATTAATAGTAAGGGAATATTCTTGTTTTAATGCTAATTTATTTTATCAAATATTGGTTTTAAAATATTATAAAATTTGTTTTCGTGAGACAACCAACGCATTAAAAATATAAATTCAAGGATTTATATAAGACGTGATGATTAAACCGTATCGTATAGATAGACACTCTAGTGACCAGTCATTGCAATTCATACAAATTGTCAGAAAATTTTATTTTCTTTCATTTTATACTGTACGTTATATTTTGTAATGATATTACTGTAAATATACCAGTATACTTGTACACTATATTAAGTGAATTTATTATTAAAATACGTTTTTTAAGTGTTAACAATATCTATTTATCTATTTA